TAAACCCTAAACCCTAAACCCCTAAACCCCTAAACCCCTAAACCCCTTAACCCCTTAACCCCTAAACCCCTAAACCCCTAAACCCCTAAACCCCAAAACCCCTAGACCCTAGACCCTAGACCCTAGACCCTAGACCCTCGACCCTAGACCCTAAACCCTAAACCCCAAACCCCAGCCCTAAACCCTAAACCCTAAACACTCAAAGGGAGAGCCGGCGGTGCATGTAGGTGTCCCCCAGCTGCGACGAGCTCCGCGAGATGTCGTGCGCTTCGAAGCCTTAAACGCTCCGTTTAGGGTTTAGGGTTAAGGGTTAAGGGTTTAGGGTTTGGGGTTTAGGGTTTAGGGTTACCCTAAACCCTGAGGGTTTGAAAGGGTCTTGGGCTTTCAGGGTGTAGGGACCTTGGGAGAGCCTCATGCACGTTGGGGGCAAAGGTAGCGTAGCGGTGTGAAACGCTGTGAACTTGGGATGTTCCCCCTTATACTACCCGCCCTTCATAGGGATTACAATAGGGGGTTACCCAAAACCCTAAACCCTAAACCCTAAACCCTAACACCCCAAACCCTAAACACTACTAAGGACTGCTAGTATGAGGGGGAACATCAACCTGTGAACTTTGGGACTCTATGGGGTTGTACCTTGGACGGGAAAAAAGGGTTGTACCCCGGAAGTGTTGGGGCGCCTGTTAAAGGTCCTTTAAGGTAATATAATTAGGGTTTAGGGTTTAGGGTCTAGGGTCTAGGGTCCGCCGACCCTGGCGGCGTGTTGGATGGTTTTGAAGGCAACTTTTTCATGGAGGACCGCCCCCCCACCACCCACCCCCCCACCCCCCCCACCCCCCCCACCACCCCCCCACCCCCACACACCACCCCCCCCCACCCCCTCCCCACTCCCCCCCCCACACAACCCCACACCCCCCCCAACCCCCCCCCACCCCCCACCACACCCCACACCCCAACACCACCACACCCCCACCACCCAACCCCACCCACCACCCGCAACAACCACCCACCCCCTACCCCCAAAACAGCCAAGCCAACAAGCTCCCCCAAGCCCACTCCCCCCAAAACAACTTGCAGAGTTCTCCAGGTCTTGGGTCGGCCGCCTGAGCCGGAGGCTGCTAAATTTAGGGTTGGTTTCGGGTGAGGAGTGTGTTAAGGGGACCTTTAGGGGTAGAACCTTAGGGGGACGAGTTCCTGGAGACTAAACCCCTCCGCCCCCACAGCCTCAATGCCCTAAGACCGAAAACCCCCACAACCCCCCGCACCCAACAAACAACGAATTTAGGGTTTAGGGTTTAGGGTTTAGGGTTTGGGGTTTAGGGTTCCCGAAGCAACTGAGGCAACAGAAAGCAAGTGACAGTGGGAGTTGTTCAGAATGACGGGTCAAAAACCCCTGAAAAAATGACAATCAGACGAAAGACTCCCAGAAGGGAAGCCCAAACAGCCTAAATAGCCTAAGCAGCTTAAACCCTTCAACCGTAACCCTAAACCCTAAACCCTAAACCCTAAACCCTAAACCCTAAACCCTAAACCCTAAACCCTAAACCCTAAACTCTCTCCTGAATGGCCCAGAATGTTGATCAACGCCCTCCCGTGCTCGTGAGGCGCTTTCCAGCGCGAGGTCTGGCTTCCGCGCAGACCAGTGGGTGCCTTCAGAGACGTAGAGGGTTTAGGGTTTAGGGTTTAGGGTTTAGGGTTTAGGGTTCCGGGTTTAGGGTTTGGGGTTTGGGGTTTGGGGTTTAGTATCACATTTAGGGTTTAGGGTTTAGGGTTTAGGGTTTAGGCTTTGGGGTTTGGGGTTTAGTGTATCTAGGGGTCTTAGGGGACGTTGAGAGGTTTTTCGGGGGTTTAGGGATGCTTAGGGTTGAGGTTTCCCCAGTGGCCTCGGAGAGAATTACAAGGGCTCCTAGGGGCGCTATCCTTCGAATTGCTTAAGAAAACCACCAAAAAATTAAGTATTCTTCCTTATTAAAGGCAATACAGGGATTATTATGTTGTTTTATTCTTTTGGGGGGTTCTTAAGCAAATAGATATTCTTCCTGATTAAGGGTAAAATAGGGAGTATTATTTGTTTATTCTTTTGGGGTTCTTTAAGCAACTAGTCCTGTCGTGGAGTTGTTGGGGTTCTAGTTCTTCGGCGAGGCCTTGGCACTTAAGAGGTTCATGGTACTTGTGAACCAAATGGGTGGTTGTCAAAATTATTGTCCTTTTTGGGGGTACCCCAAATAGTAGGTGCTGTATAATCGTAGGGGCCCAAAAAGGGACCATACTTTTGACAACCACCCAAATATATCTGTGCATATGTATAACCCACTTATAAGCCCCTTAAGTGCCCTAATATGGCTGTAAGTACAGTTATGACTGGTTCATGAGTACCATGAACCTCCAAGTAGAGGGCCCTCGATGTCGGCTGCCTAACTTCCGAGGTCCGCCCTAAACTGGGGCAGGTGTGGGGCCGCCCCCAAAAAAATTGGTATGTTGGGATGTTCCCCCTCATACTAGGAGTCCTTCATCGGGAGTATAGTACCCTCGATTCTAATCCCTATTGAGGACTGTTAGTATCAGGACATCCCTTTATGGCTTCACAAGGTTTTATATAGGGGATTAAGGGACAAAAAAGGCAAACATGTGTTCAAACCCCCTGTAAACTCTAACTTGCATAACAAGGCCAAGTCGGATAACCCTTGTAGGTTTAGGGTTTAGGGTTTAGGGTTTAGGGTTTAGGGTTTAGGGTTTAGGGTTTAGGGTTTAGGGTTTAGGGTTTAGTGAACCTTGGGATGATCCCCCTTATACTACCAGTCCGTAAATGAGTTTACAGTCGGGTGTGCGAGTGTGCAGCTTAAGGACTTCTAGTGTAAGAGGCAACTTGGGATTTAGGGTTTAGGGTTTAGGGTTTAGGGTTTAGGGTTTAGGGTTTAGGGTTTAGGGTTTAGGGTTTAGGGTACACTATGCGTAATAAGGGCCCCATGCTTCGGTTGCCTTTAAAAGAAGGGGCATGGGACCGCCCCAAGGGCCCCCAAGTTTCCGATCTTTCTTTCAGAGATTTCCTTGGGCGGACTCTCTGTACTCCGAAGATTTAGGGTTTAGGGTTTAGGGTGTAAGGGTTAAGGGTTTAGGGTTTAGGGTTTAGGGTTTAGGGTTTAGGGTTTAGGGTTTAGGGTTTAGAAAGTCAACTTCCACAGGATGAGAGAAGCAGAACTCAAGAAGCGCAAGGAACCTGAGATTCGTACAGTAGGTAAGGATCAGAGCATCAATCCTGAAAAGGCCATCCGCTCAACTGTCACCCTACACCCTAAACCCTAAGCCCTAAGCCCTAAACCCTAAACCCTAGCCCTGAACCCTAAACCCTAAACCCTAAACCCTAACTGTGTCTTCGAACATCTTCAAGTCCCTTAATGTCCGGCACCCCTAACCATGCACCATAAACCTGAAACCCACAACAACAGTACAGCGAAAACCAAACTTAACTAGTACTTCCCTACATCCTAAACAGTACACCTTTTAAAGCCCCAAGACCCCACCCCCCCCCCGCCCCCCCCAACCCCCTAAACCCTAAACCCTAAACCCTAAACCCTAAACCCTAAACCCTAAACCCTAAACCCTAAACCCGACAAGCGAGGCGTGAGCACCCCAGAAGAGGAATCCCTTTTTGCAGGCGAAGACCTACAGAGCCCGGCGAGTCTTTGGCTTTAGAACTTCAGGGCTCAACGGGGTTTAGGGTTTAGGGTTTAGGGCTTAGGGCTTAGGGCTTAGGGCTTAGGGTGTAGGGTTGGGACCCTGAACCTGAAACCCTAGGGCTAGGTAAACCTTTGCCTTTAAAAACTTTTGTTCTTTGAGTTCTTGAGGTTTCTTGCGTAAGGCTTGACCCCGAACCATAAACCCCAAACCCTAAACCTAAACCCTGGGGTTAGGAGATCTTTGGCTTTATAGGGCGTTTAGTTTTTCTTGGTTTAGGTCGGAGGTGGATGAGTCTCAGAGACAGATTTTAGGGTTTAGGGTTTAGGGCTTAGGCCTTGGGGTTGTTGTAGGACTTAGGGTTTAGCGCTAAGGGCCGTTCAAAAGGTTTAGGGTTGAGGGCCTAGGGAGGCTCCAGAGCTAGTATAAAACTCTACTTGCGCATAGGGCCTTTTGGTTTTTTTTTCGGGCTTTTGGGGCTTTAGGGTTTTTTTCAGAGTCTTCAGGGTTTAGGGTTTAGGGTTTAGGGTTTAGGGTTTAGGGTTTGATGTAGGGGCTGCAGGCCTGTTCTTTACATTGCTGAGGAGGGAAGGGCCGCCTCGAAGCCCTAGACCCGCTAACAGCCTGCCTTGAGATTTACTCTAAGCCCTAAACCCTAAACCCTAAACCCTAAACCCTAAACCCTAAAGCCTAAACCCTAAACCCTAAACCCTAAACCCTAAACCCCACAAGACCGAGAGCCCTCAATCGTAGAAGCGCCAAATATCTTTAAGGCCGTCAACCACTGAGGCCAAAAAGCATACCTGTCACTCCCAATCCCCGCAAAAAGGTCACCGCCCCTCAACCTTCAACCCTCAACCCTCAACTCTCAACCCCTAAACCCCTAAACTCCTACACTCCAAACCCTAAACCCTAAACCCTCAACCCTCAACCCTCAAACCCTAAACCCTAAACCCTAAACCCACGCACATGCCTGGCCGACTCTCCCGATGGTACAGGTGTTTCGGTTTTGCTTTCTTTTAGGTTGCGGCACCTTGGTTCTTGTTTAGGGTTTGGGGTTTAGGGTTTAGGGTTTAGGGTTTAGGGTTAGGACCCGGTTTATAGGGTTTTGTAAGAACCTACAGGCCAGCAGCCATAATTACTCAGAGCTTTATAACCTTGGTTGTCGGCAGTTAGATTGCTTCCTGGGTTTCGGCATGTTGGGCGAAAGGAATCTTAAGCCAACAACAGTAGGACCCTATGTTTATATTATGTGGGTTTTTGGGCCCCGAAACCCTAGACCCTAAACCCCAATCCCTGAACCCTAAACCCATAACCCTAAACCCCTAAACCCTAAACCCTCCAAAAGAGCCGAGGGCCTTGGTGTTGGTCATGAAGAAGCGGCCCGACTTGCGCGCGGTGGCGCGGCCCGTGATGTAGCGATACTGCTGGGAGCCCTTGTTATCTTCCTGAGCTCGGCTGGGTTTAGGGTTTAGGGTTTGGGGTTTAGGGTTTGGGGTTTAGGGTTTAGGGTTTAGGGTGTAGGGTTTCAGGCTCAGGGTAAAAAAGACAAAGAGAACACAAGAGATCGTTGAGGAGTGTTGCTGGAAGGCAGTTCCTTCCACCTCTACAGGGGCAACTGCCACTCATCCGGCTCATCTGCAGCTACTCAGGGTACTTGGTAACCCATTGTAGGGTTTAGGGTTTGAGGTTTAGGGTTTGGGGGTTAGGGTTTAGGGTTTAGGGTTTAGGGTTTGGGGTTTAGGGTAGTCCATGATAAGTGTTGCAAGAACCCACATATTAACCCCCTTAAGGTACCCTCATAGGTCTATCTTAGGTTCAGAAGTACAGTTGCTTCGTAGCCCAGCAACCAAGTATAGAAAAGGGAAAAGGGCACCACTGGGCTACGAAGGTTGTAATGTGGTTACTAACCCTAAGCCCTAAGCCCTAAACCCTAAACCCTAAACCCTAAACCCTAAGCCCTAAACCCTAAACCCTAAACCCTAAACCCTAAACCCTAAACCCTAAACAATTTAATTGGGTTGCTACGTACCACGAACCTCCAAGTAAGTACTGATAGGTGCAGCCCTCCGCCAGAGCGTGTGACAGTCATCCCCGAATAGCTCGAAGCACATGTGTCCGCCAAGTGAGGCACAGGGTTTAGGGTTTATAGTTTATAGGGTTTAGGGTTTAGGGTTTAGAGTTTAGGGTTTAGGGTTTAGGGCTTAGGGCTTCGGGCTTAGGGTTTAGGGTGCTTGCTTGACCACCATTGCGTAGTGCAGCTGTCAAAGCATTCTGCTGCTCCGTCCGTGCAAGATGCAACAGTCGCCCAACCGTCATAGTAGCTACTCTAGACCCATCTCATGGTAACTGAAAGCTTAAACACTAAACCCTAAAACCCTAAACCCTAACAAGAGCTCACTCGGGGGTTCCGAGAACTGTCAAAAAACCCTAGTTGAACAATGTGGGCCCTAAACCCTAAACCCTAAACCCTAAAACCTACTATGATTTAGATCTTCCTCGAGGGTTTAGGAGCCCAAGACGCATGCAACTCGCAGAGGGGGGCGGGGGGCGGGGGGGGGGGGGCTGGCGAAACCCCAAGCCCTCGCCAAAAGCCCTCAACAGCCTAAACCCTCAAAATGCCCCTAAGCCCCCAAATCCCACAACTCCCCAAGCTTAAAGCCGTAACCCATCCAAGCCCCAAACCCTTCAACAAAACACGTGCCAAGTGAGGGTTGTCCCCCCTTATACCGAATTGGGCACTACAGGGCGGGGCCCCCTAGTTATAAGTAGAGTTATAAGAGCCCTTAATTGGGTTATCAGGATCCTAAACTAGGTTATAAGTCCCTTAACGACAGTTAGTATAGTAAGGGGGCCCCTCCTTGTAGGGTTGGTACTCAGCAGGTTGTCCAAATTGACCCGAAACAGAATTGGGCACTAGGGTTGGTACCCAAGATTGACCTTCATAACCGTCTGGGCATTAGATTGGACGTGTACACGTGCAAGCAAGGGTTTAGGGTCTGCTTGGACCAGGGTACGTCGTAATACATTAGAAGTGTAGTTAGACCCCACCTAAAATAAGCCCCTTAAGTACCCTAATAGGGTTATAATTGGGGTATAGGTACAAATAGAAGTGGGATACTAAGTACCATGAACCTCCAAGTAGCCCTAAACCGTAAACCCTAAACCCTAAACCCTAAACCCTAAACCCTACCCTGAATCTCCAAGTAGGGTTTAAGGGGAGGCATGAGAAGCCCGGAGTGATCGGCTGCGCGTATGATCAGGCTCCTTTTCCAGTTGCGACCTCAGAGTTTAAGACGTGTGCGCCGATAGCCCTAAACCCTAGACCCCAAACCCTAGACCCTAAACCCTAAACTCTCAAAGTTTAAGACGTGTGCGCCGGTAACCCCAAATCCTAGACCCTAAACCCTAAACCCTCAGAGTTTAAGACGTGTGCACCGTCAACATGAGCGACGAGAAGCGAACTAAGGAGCTCGGAAGCTGCACCCCTTCCAAGCTCTGGTTGAAGCAGTCGCCGAAGGTCAAGGTCTGTAGGCCGCTGGGAAGCTGCGCCCCTTCAAAGCTCCGGTTGAAACTATGGCCGAAGGTCAAGGTCTGTAGGCCGCTGGGAAGCTGCGCCCCTTCCAAGCTCTGGTTGAAATAATGGCCGAAGGTCAAGTTTTGCAAACCGCTGGGAAGATGCACACCTTCCAAACTTTGGTTGAAGCAGCCGCCAAAGGTCAAAGTGTGTAGGCTGCTGGGAAGCTGCACCCCTTCCAAGCTCTGGTTGAAGAGTTCGCCAAAGGTCAAGGTCTGTAAGCCGCTGGGAAGCTGCACACGTTCCAAGCTCTGATTGAAGGTGCCGCTGAAGGTCAGGATCTGTAAGCCGCTGGGAAGCTGCACCTCTTCCAAGCTCTGGTTGAAATTGAAATCATGGCCGAAGGTCAGGGTCTGTAGGCCGCCGGGAAGCTGCACCCCTGCCAAGCTGCGTTTCCAATCACAGCCGAAGGTCAAGGCCTGCAGGCTGTTGGGCAAATGCACCCCTTCCAAACTGTAAGAGAAACCGAAGGTCAAGGTCTGTAGGCCGCTGGGAAGCTGCACACCTTCCAAGCTCTGGTTGAAATTTTGGCCGAAGGTTAAAGTCTGTAAGCCACTGGGAAGCTGCACCCCTTCCAAGCTCCGGTTGAAACAGTGGCCGAAGGTCAACGTCTGTAGGCCGCTGGGAAGCTGCACCCCTGCCAAGCTCTGATTGAAACTGCGGCCGAAAGTCAAGGTCTGTAGGCTGCTGGGAAGCTGCACCCCTGCTGCCAAGCTCTGGTTGAAGCAGTCGCCGAAGGTCAGGGTCTGTAGGCCGCTGGGGAGCTGCACCCCTTCCAAGCTCCGGTCGAAGTCGTCGCCGAAGGTCAAGGTCTGTAGGCCGTTGGGAAGCTGCACCGCTTCTAAGCTCTGGTTGAAACCATGGCCGAAAGTCAAGGTCTGTAGGCCGCTGGGAAGCTGCACCTCTTCCAAGCTCTGGTTGAAGCGTTCGCCGAAGGTCCAGGCCTGCAGGCCGCTGGGAAGCTGCACACCTTCCAAGCTCCGGTTGAAACGGTCGCCGAAGGTCAACGTCTGTAGGCCGCTGGGAAGCTGCACCCCTGCCAAGCTCCGGTTGAAACTGCGGCCGAAAGTCAAGGTTTGCAAACCGCTGGGAAGCTGCACCCCTGCCAAGCTCTGGTTGAAGAGTTCGCCAAAGGTCAAGGTCTGTAAGCTGCTGGGAAGCTGCACGCCTTCAAAGCTCTGGTTGAAACAAAAGCCGAATGTCAGGGTCTGTAAACCGCTGGGAAGCTGCACACCTTCCAAGCTCTGGTTGAAACTATGGCCGAAGGTCAAGGTCTGTAGGCCGCTGGGAAAATGGACCCCTACCAAGATCTGGTTGAAATCGCGGCCGAAGGTTAAGGCGACAACGACATCCATGGCATCCGTGTCGTCATTCAACCCTGTCTTTGTTAGTGCTCGTTTTATACTGCGCGCCGCGCAGCCTGCGCCACATTTCCGCACCACATATGTGAGCTCTTGGTTCTGAGTTTGTTGCAGCAGCGGCTGGTGCAGTTCGAGGAGACGCTCTCCTGAAGTCAGCACGATTGACGCTGCGGAAAGGCCGACACTTCCTGCGATGCGTCTTCGCACATTCCGACCTGTTTCCGCATCGTCCACATGGAGCTCAATCGTGGAGCCGGCAAGACAGTGGATGGTCAAAGGCCGCCGCATGCTGGCGCTTCCGCAGCGACAAGACTCGACGAAGAATGGCGCAAAAGTGCGGAAATAAAGAATTTGGGAACTGTAGGTACCCCCAATTCCCATGTATACCTCCTGAAAGGATCATATAGGGCACTGAACTGCCTTTCTCTGCGCGTGACTTGAGAAGACACAACCTCAAAACCAGAAAGGATCAATAGAGGAACTGGCCCTAAACCATAAAGCCTAAACCCTAAAGCCTAAACCCTAAACTATATCCAAACACGCCGGACCCCATTCACTAACAGGGTTTCCCCAGAGGGTCCATTTGTAGTACTATTTCGGAATAAGGTACCCAAAAACCTTACTAAATAGGGTTTTGGGGTACCTAATTCCACCATAGTACTGCAAATGGAACCTCTGGTCTAGTTTCCAAAGCGCTATTTGATTTAGGTCTAGATATGGGGTCGACGTCCGTCAGGCCTACGTAGAACACCGCACCTAGCAGAGGAAGGCAGGTGAAGGAAGCCACCCCATTAGGGTTTAGGGTTTAGGGTTGAGAGGGTTTAGGGTTCAGGGGCGGTGTATCGTCAGCCCAACAACAGCGAAACTGCAGGGGCACATGGCTTTTGTAAGCGTTCGCGTCTTAGGCCTTTTCCAAAAATGCCGCCGGCGCAGCCCGCAGTGCGTTGGGAGATGGTTTTATACGGCCATTGCAGGGTTGGCAGGCAGCGTTCAAGGCTATCCCAACCCCCGCAGTAACAATCTCGTCATTGTACGGTGTGTTGAAACAAGGGTCTATTCGAGGAAATAACATGGGATGGGATTCAAGCAACTATGTGAGAGGAGAGCCGACTACAAATATGTGAAACCCTAAACCCGACCAAGGTCATAGGTTGGGGGGGGGGGGGTGTGCGCGAAGCATGCGACACACTCCAAAACCCGCAAACCCTCAACCCCCTAAACTCTAGACCCTAAACCCTAAACCCTAAACCCTAAACCTTGCCCTAAACCCTAAACCCTAAACCCTAAACCCTAAACCCCTCGAAAGAACTCGAGACGAGATTCCCAGAGCTCTCCGCCCACATACATGCAGGCCCCTCGGCTCCAGATACGCCCTGGGCTTTTTCTGGGTGGTTCTATGTAGTGAATGAGGGAATGGGGTTTGGGGTTTAGGGTTTAGGGTTTAGGTACCCTATATCATCCCTTAAAGTGTATACATATATATATATATATATATATATTGGCATTTTTCCCGCTAATACTAACAGTCCTTGATAGGGATTCTAGTATCCCCTATTATACTCCCCATTAAGGACTGTTACTACAAGGGGGAACATCCCAAGGTGTGTGTATACATATATATATATATACACGTATGCATAGCGCCCGAATCCCCTCATTCCCTGCTAAGAACCCGGAGGTTTTCTGGATCTTAGGGTCGCGTGTGCAGGGTTGAAGGGTTTATAGAGGGTTTGGGGTTCAGGGATTAGGGGTTTAGGGATGTGGGGGTGTTTGGGGTGTGCTCATGATCAGTTCTTGTTGTCGGATCTAAACTGAAGTTACCGTACTCTGGTCTGACAGTTTAGGATTCAAGGTTAGGGCAACAGCCCATATTATATAGATGAAAAGATACTCGGTTTATTCGTAACCGCGAATGTATGAATGCTCTGACGATGACTTTGGCGATCCGAGATTGAGTTTTCTGGTGGCTACGGGATGCTATACCCTAAACCCAAAACCCGACCAGGGGCCCCCTTTACCTTCTAGCGTGGGGTCATCCCCTCTATCTCGGAGGTTGCAGCCGATTATTCTGGTGCGGCTTCGGGTTTAGCGTTTCGGGGCTTTGGGAGTCGCAGGTACACAAAAGACCGGCCTAGGCAGCCCTTCTAAAGACGGCTACGGGCCATATGTTCAAGGGTTTAGGGTTTAGGGTGTAGGGTTTAGGGTTAAGGCTTTAGGGTTAGGGTTTAGGGTTTAGGGTTTAGGGTTTAGGGTTTAGGGTTTAGGGTTTAGGGTTTAGGGTTTAGGGTTTAGGGTTTAGGGTTTAGGGTTTAGGGTTTAGGGTTTAGGGTTTAGGGTTTAGGGTTTAGGGTTTAGGGTTTAGGGTTTGGGGTTTAGGGGGGTAGGGTTTAGGGTTTAGGGTTTAGGGTTTAGGGTTTAGGGTTTGGGGTTTGGGGTTGGGGTTTGGGGTTTGGGGTTTGGGGTTTAGCTCTGGAGGATCCCACGCCAAAAAGCCCGGAGCGACGCAAGCTTCATACACTTAGGGCTCAGGGTTCCTGATGCGAACCCCGCTTCGTCCTAAACCCTCAAAAAACCCTTTGAGGGTTTAGGGTTTAGGGTTTAGGGTTTAGGGTTTAGGGTTTAGGGTTTAGGGTTTAGGGTTTAGGGTTTAGGGTTTAGGGTTTAGGGTGACCGGACATTTAGACTCCTGAACCCTGAAACCGCCAAAAGATTTCCTCTTCAGCGTCCCTGGGCTTCATTGCCCGCCAGCGCCTTCTGTAATTTTGGGGCCTGAACAGGGTTTTGGGTGTTTATTATCATATAGCCATAAAGTGACCCTAAGTTCCCTAAGTGAATAATATCAGAAAAAAAAGCCCGACCCCTACATTAGGGCAGCGGCTAGGCCGTGGCTTTTGAATTCAGGGGCCTGCCGTGGAGCTCCAACAAGATTCCAGACTGAATTGTTGGCCAGGCAGCTTTTTTACTGGTTCTTGGCGGGAATGAATGAGGGCCCTATATATATATATATATATATATACCCTTTAAGGGCTTTTTTTTAGGGTACTTCATTCCCTCATGAGGCTAAGAACCAGCCAGGCTTGCCTGGTAGCTCCGCTGCCCTTGATTGAACTTTGTTGCCACTTCCGGCAGGCATTGGCGGCCCATTTGCATTTGCCCAAGCCCCTAATTCCGCGACCCCCTCCCCCCTCCTCCCGTGAAGAAACACCACTTGCGGGGTACTAGGGGGTACTGGGGGTACTAGGGGGTACTAGGGGGTAGTAGGGGGTACTAAGTTGAAAAAAAATGGGATTGAGGGTTGAAGAAACACCCCTAGGACTCCCTTAGGGGTTTCGGGGTTTAGGGGGTATTAGGTGGAAAATCCTAGGACCCCGAAACCCTAGACCCTAGACCCTAAACCCAAAACCCAAACTCTAGGACCCAGTTTTAAAACGGGAAAACACAAGAAGCCACCCGAGGCGCCCGAGGAGTGCGCTGTGTTCGAGTCGAACTCCAAAAGCTCCAGCTCGTCCGGTCGGTAGTCCTTGCATTTTGGCCGGGGGGGGGGGAGGGATGGAGTATCCCTAAACCCTAAACCCTGAACCGGGAACCCTGAACCCTGAACCCTGAACCCTGAACCCAGGGTTTAGGGTTTAGGGTTTAGGGCTTAGGGTTTAGGGTTTAGGGTTTAAGGTTTAGGCTTTAGGGTTTAGGGTTCAGGGCTTAGGGCTTATGGATTAGAAAGTCTCGAACTTCTGGATTAGAAAGTCTCGAACTTCCGAGTAAACCGGGCTACTGCCCCCGTACCACGTACTGCGGTTTGACGCTAAACCCTAAACCCTAAACCCTAAACCCGAAACCCTAAACCCAAAACCCTACTCTCCACCATGGAAAATCTTGAACCTGTATTATACCCCCCCCCCCCAATTTAGGCTTGGCTGCACTTAGCAGGGTAGCTATAAATTAAACTTTTAGCCGCTGCCTTATTCAGAAATCCAATAAACCCAAAAAGGCTAAGAATCTAAAGCTACAGTAAACATAGCCCTAAACCCTAAACCCTAAACCCTACACCCTAAACCCTACACCCTAAACCCTAAACCCCCTGGGGTGTCCGGGTTGTTGGCGTAGCTGTCCCCGAGGGCGTACTCTACGCGCGGGAAGTGGAAGCCCGAGAACCCGCCACCTCCAGGGAAGGGGCTTGGCAGGGGTTGAGGGTTTAGAGGGTTTAGAGGGTTTATAGGGTTTAGAGGGTTCAGAGGGTTTATAGGGTTTAGAGGGTTTAGAGGGTTCAGAGGGTTTATAGGGTTTATAGGGTTTATAGGGTTTATAGGGTTTATAGGGCTTATGGGGTTTATAGGGTTTAGGGTTTAGGGTGTGGGGCTTAGGGTTAGGGTTTCGGATTTCGGGGGAAGAGGGTGTAGGGTTTGCGTGTTCAGGGGAGGAGCTAAGGCTTGGGGGCAAAGGGGTTTCCCCTACGAGTACAGCCCCCAAAACCCTAAACCCTAAACCCTGAACCCTAAACCCTAAACCCAAAACCGTCGAACTTGTTCTGGGGTCTAGGGTAAGGCTTGTCAAGTCCGGGGCAGGCGTTATGTTTAGGTTCAGGCTTTTGTGCATTTGTAGGGTTTAGGGTTAAACAGCACCCTAAACCCTAAACCCTAAACCCTAAACCCTAAACCCTAAACCCTAAACCCTAAGCCCTAAGCCCTAAGCCCTAAGCCCTAAACCCTAAACCCAGCCTAAACCCTAAACCCCAAAACCCTAAACCCGAAACACTTAACCTTTAAGACGTCCCAAGTTCTCTCTGCCATGCCGCTCGCAGAGTTTCCAATCCATCGGTTCTTCGCGTTGGTGCAGTAGAACCTTGAGGTCTAGGGTTTCGAGTTTAGGGCGGTTTAGGGCTTGTTACCGCCCCATCCCCCACCCCCAAACACACAGAGGGTCTATGTAGGGTACAAACAGCCGGAATGGCTTGCGAGCACGCTGAGACTACAAACCCGAAAGCCCCTGACATGAAGACGAGTTATGGTGCCTAAACCCTAAACCCTAAACCCTAAACCCTAAACCCTAAACCCCAAACTGGACGCCCCTGACATGAAGAGATATAGTGCCAGACCAGAGACTGTCAAACTTTGCCTGGCGCCGTCGCTGTGTAGAGGCTCAAATGGAAAATCCAGGAGTTTAGGGTTTAGGGTTTAGGGTTTAGGGTTTAGGGTTTTGGGTTTTGCGTTTTGGGGTTAGGGAAGCAATCTCAGTGAACAACCACAAAGAATGAAGACTTCAAAAGCCATGTGGAATGTTGATGTGCAACATGATGCCTTATGATATACGGGGACCCAACAAGGGAACTTATCTTAGAGAAGCCTAAACCCTAAACCCTAAACCCTAAACCCTAAACCCTAAACCCTAAACCCTAAACCCTAAACCCTAAACCCTAAACCCTAAACCTTCTCCTCCATCACCTGACTGCGGCCCCGCCACCCTACGGCCGTGGCATCGGTGGGAACGATGCGGCTGGCCTGACTCAGGGGTTTTAGGGTTTAGGGTTTAGGGTTTAGGTGTACGGAAACGCAGGAGGAGGCTTCCAGAAGAACGGAAACTTCTTGGAGACGGATACCTCCACCAACAGCCGAAACCCTAAACCACAAAACCGCAAACCCTAAACCCCTAACCTCTATACTCCCTAAAACCCTAGAACCCTAACACCTAAGCCCTAACCCCGCTTCCCCTAAAACCTAAACCCGTTCACACAACAAAGAAAAAGACGCCTACCCTCAGGGTCCGTGTACCTACCCTCAGGGTTCGTGTACCTATGAATGATGAAGTATAGTGCTTAGGTTTAGGGGTTTAGGGTTTAGGGTAGCTCAGGGTACCAAAATAGTGTACGGCCTCCGAAAGCTACTATATAGGAACCCTGTAAGGCCCAAGCTTACCCCCGAAACTCTGGGGCCCTAAACCCATAATTAAACCCTAAACCCTGAAACCTGAACCCGAAACTCTAGACCCTTAACCCTAAACCCTAACCCTAAACCCTAAACCCTAAACCCTAAACCCTAAACCCTAAACCCTAAACCCTAAACCCTAAACCCTAAACCCTAAACCAACATACGTCGCACCTGCGTCTCCACGCGGACACCTTCCTGACCACCACCAGCCTCGCAGGCGGGGCCATGTGAGGTTCGCTTAGGGTTTAGGGTTTAGGGTTTAGGGTTTAGGGTTTAGGGTTTTAGGGTTTGGGGTTTAGGAATTAGGGCTGAGGTTTAAGCTCTAGGGATATAGGGTTTACAGGGTCTAGGGTTTGAAGTTCATGGGTCTCGAGGGTTTAGGGTTTCAGCTTTTGCTTACGGTTTGGGGCATGTGGCGTTAGGGCGTATTGGTGTTTAGGATTTCGCGTAGCTAGCTCACCATAACCCAATTTTGGCTGCTCTTAGCAGGGTAGCTATAAATTTAATTTTTAGCTGCCTTGTCTCTTAACCCAATAAACCCAAAAAGGCTAAAGATGTAAAGTTACAGTAAAGCACCACAAGGCCCAGGATTTTGCAGATTAGGGGTCCACGGTGTGGGATTTAGGTTTTTAGCGCATTGAGGGTTCAGGGGTTTAGGGGTTAACCCCAAAAACCTAGACCCTAAACCCAACACCCGAAACCCCAAACCCTAAACCCTAAACCCTAAACCCTAAACCCTAAACCCTAAACCCTAAACTCTACGCTTGCACCCCTGGGCTCTGCGGAACTCATTGGCCCCTATCAAGGTTACCTTTATAGTATGTACTTGGCCCTTAAAGGGTTTAGGGTTTATAGGGTTTATAGGGTTTATAGGGTTTATAGGGTTTATAGGGTTTACAGGGTTTATAGGGTTTATAGGGTTTATAGGGTTTATAGGGTTTATAGGGCTTAGGGCTTAGGGCTTAGGGTTTAGGGTTTAGGGAGCTTTAGGGCCCAAGTATATACTATAAAGGTACATGGACCCTTAGGGACTTGATTCATTGCCCTTATGTAAAGGGTACATTTGGTGGTGTGCGCAGAATCATTGGCAGCAGCCCCGATAATGTACTTTAAAGGGTTTAGGGTTTAGGGTCTAGGGGCTTAGAGATCTTTGTTTGCAGGGTACACTCAGGGTACACTCAGCACTCGAGAAGTTCGATGGATGTCGAGCATTCCGCGCAGTTTTGCAAGTCGGAAAGCCCTTCGTTGCTGGTGCCAACCACGCCCTTGATGATGCGGTCGCACGCATTCATGTGGGCCTTCCCATGCACCTCTAAGTACATCGTAAACGACCCTAAACCTTAAACCCTAAACCCTGAACCCTAAACCCCAACCCGAAACCCTAAACCCTAAACCCTAAACCCGAAACCCTAAACCCTAAACCCCAAGCCCCAAACCCTCAGCCCTAACCCACCACCCCGACACCGAATGCCTCGTAGTCGTTGAGGCGGTCGATGATGTGAACGAAGGCGGCCAGGTTAAAGTCGAAGAGGTTGTCCTCCTCCTCGAAATCTCTGAGGCTTAGGGTTTAGGGTTCAGGGTTTAAGGTTGAGAAGGGATCCTTAATCTTATTCCCCCTTTCTAACCCCTGTATACCTAAGTAGCCCCCCACATCACCCCGAAAAATAACCCCTAGGCCCCTTGTAAGGGTCCCTCCTTGAGTCCCTCCTCAGGACTGTGTAGCTTAGGGTGGGCTTTTAGGGGTTTGTTTCTGCTTTACCCTCAACCCATCTAACCCCAAACCCCGAAACCCTAAACCCTACAAAGAGGGGGGGGGGCGGGGGTGGGGGGGTAAAGGTAGAACTGTAGAACCCTAAACCCTAAACCCTAAACCCTAAACCCTAAACCCTAAACCCTAAACCCTAAACCCTAAACCCTAGGACCTAGGGCTTTTCCGGATGTCTTGGGGCTGATGGGGATGGAGGCTGTGAGGGGTTCAGGGGGTTTGGGCTTCGGAGGTTGGGTTTTTTAGGGTTTTTGAGCTGCGAACCCTAACCCTAAACATAATCCTTAACCCTCAAGTTGTTGTTGGGCTTCTGGGATCTGGTGCGGCTTCTGGGATCTGGTGCGCCTAAACCCGAAACTCTTAACCCTAAACCCTAAACCTTTGAAACTTCAAGCCTTGCGTCTCAATTCCCAAGGTTTCCCTGGCCCCTTGGACCCCACGCCCTAAACCCTGAACCCTACAAACAAGCCCTAAAGCACAACTTCCAAGAATTCCACAACATCCCTAAATCCCGGACACCCCACCCCCAGAATGATTCTCAATCTTTCAAAGCCCCTTAAAGAGTCTTTTTGTACCACCCGCAACCTAGCAACTATTCCGCATTCCCGCTGCATTGCAATCTGCACGGAGGCGTTTCTTAATCTACTGTTTGCTTAAGAACCCCAAAAGAAAAAATGATATTCCCTATAATACCCTTAAGAGGAAAAATGTTTTCAAATTCTTTGGGGGTTCCTAAGCAATTAGTAGTAATTTGGAGTAGGGTTAGCGGGGCAGAGTTTAACGTGGGCCCCAGAACTGCCAATCCCTACTCATCTGCTTGGCCCTCTACACTCCTGAACTTGTTGCAGTAAGTGAAAGATCCCGAAAAACCGTTGAGCCCTCACCCTAAACCCTAAACCCTAAACCCTAAACCCTAAACCCTAAACCCTAAACCCTAAACCCTAAACCCTAAACTCATTATTCTTAAGCCCCGTTCATCCGCCGAGTCGCCACGCCGTCTTCGAGGTAGTAGGCGCTGCCAGACACGTCGTAGGCGACGTTGCGGGACACCCGTGAGTTCGAAGTTCCATGAACCTTTCTAGGGCTTAGGGTTTAGGGTTTAGGGTTTAGGGTTTAGGGTTTAGGGTACAAGGTTTAGGATTTAGGCTTCTTTCCTGGAGGCCCACCGTGAGCCACAACTATAGCCGGGGAGTCGTTCGAAACCATAATCCCTGGTGGGGCTTCTTGTTCTGTGATGGAACCCTAAACCCCCAACCCCAAACAACAAACCTTCAACCCTATTACCCCAAACCCGAAACCCGAAACCCGAAACCCCAAACCCGAAACCCTAAACCCCAATAAACCCCAAACCCGACACCCTAAACCCTAAAAGCATGCTTCTTTCCTAAACAAGCTCCGAGATGAACTCAAAGGTTTTGGGTTTCTGGGTACGCCCTCATCAGCTTCCGACGACGGGACTTGGAGGCTGATGGTAACCCTAAACCCTAAACCCTGAGCCCTACCAAGTACTTAGAGGGGCGTTTATGTGGGTTCTAACTCACTTAAGGGTTTAGGGTTTAGGGCTCTGGGTTTACAGCTTAAGGTTCAGGGTTTAGGGTTCAAGGTTGTTAAGTCCCCAGCTCCCAGCGTAGCCTTTGTTTCTCGAGAGCGGGTTTCGGCTCTTGCTACAGCATGACGAAAAGCTTGTGGGGGACGACGGCAGGAACGAAAAGGTTTAGGGTGTAGGGTTTCGGGTTTAGGGTTTAGAGTGTAGGGTGTAGGGTGTAGGTGTGAACTTTGCAGGTACGTCGACGAGCAAATGGGTGATCAAATATCAGGGCATACTCAGGCTGCAGCGTCGACTCTTCATACTCTAGACTGAGTAACCTAGGACTACAAAGGGTGCCCGTTTTGGTTTCAGGGGCTCATGAGTGAACCCAAACCCTAAACAAAGGGAGTAAGGGCCTACTCTGGGTCCTAGCATGGTCTCCTGTCCTTGTGGCGGCTTCAAGCGGGCACAATCCGGCATGCTTTTGCGGGCGCGCAAAGATCGCACACCAGGGGTTCCAGGATTTAGGGGTGTAGGGTTGAGAGGGCCTAGGGTTTAGGGTTTAGAGTTCAGGGGGCCTGCAACTGTGGCTTTAACGGTAGTTATGGCAAGTGTTCGGACGCCGGGAATACCTTTGAACTTCAGCAAGCAAGACCTTTTTAGCAGTTGAGGGTGGGGTTCCTACACCCCTTGCCGTAAACCCTACACCCAAAACCTCAGCCTGTCCTTAACTTGCTGTTGGTTAGCAGGGAATGAGGGAATATGGCCCTATATGTATATATATATATATATCCTTTTAAGGGGATATATAGTGTACCTCATCCCCCCTTCCCAACTAACCAACTGTAAGTTAAGCCCTCAACCCTCCTAAAACCCTAAACACTAAAACCCTAACTTCAATTTGGTTTCGTATCCCTGAACCCGACAATCTTGTGGAGGACCACGGGGCTGGTTTTCAGAGAAACCCGAAACCCTACACCCTAAACCCCAAACCCCAAACGTCAAACCCCAAACCCTCAACCCTCAACCCTAAACCCTAAACCCTAACGTTGCTGCAACCATGCGCCCGTTTCCCTTGTCTTCATCCCTGACGCACAGGACTGCAGGGATGCCTGGCTTCCTGTCCCTGTGACAACACCTGCTCAGCAACCCCTGGATAGACCCAAAAACCCCCTCATCCCTCTAAACCCAAGACCCGAAAATTTCTGTGTAAACACTACAACCCTAAACCCTAGAAACCCTAGAAACCCTAGAAACCCTAGAAACCCTAGAAACCCTAGAAACCCTAGAAACCCTAGAAACCCTAGAAACCCTAGAAACCCTAAACCCTAAACCCTAAACTCAACCCTAGCAAGCCTAACCAGAGTGGGGAGATCTTTCTTGCGTGCACGGAGCTGTGTAGGCTCGGAAGAAGCTGCGCTGGACGAGGCCTTAGACGGTTTCGGGTTTAGGGCTTTAAGGGTTTAGGGTTTTGGGGTTTAGAGTTTAGGGTTTAGGGTTTTGGGGTTTTGGGGTTTAGAGTTTAGGGTTTAGGGTTTAGGGTTTAGGGTTTGGGGTTTCGGGTATAGGGTGTAGGGTTTTGGGGGTCTAGGGTTTTAGGCTACCACCCTCCACCTGCCCCAGTCAACTGCCTGCTTATGTGGGCAGCAACCTGCGAACCCTACAACCCCAAACTGCGGGTGTTTAGGGGGTTTAGGGGGTTTAGGGTTTAGGGTTTAGGGTTTAGGGTTTAGGGTTTAGGGTTTAGGGTTTAGGGTTTAGGGTTTAGGGTTTAGGGTTTAGGGTTTAGGGTTTAGGGTTTAGGGTTTGGGATCGTACCATCTTTCCAAAAGGCTTCAATCTTGCAGGAACGGGAACAAAGCCCGAGGGCCCATACTTCAGAACCCTGACAAGAAGTTGAGGGACCACATCAAGGGACCATGTATCTACCGCCTGAACCCTGAGCCCTAAGCCCTAAGCCCTAAGCCCTTAGCCCTAAACCCTAAACCCTAAACCCTAAACCCTCTGAGTGTTTCTCTCCTTCAGGTAAAATTAAGGTCGTTGAAGCGCCAAAGCCCTGACTAGATTGCCCAGTCATCACCTCCACAGAAAGGTAGCCTAAACCCTAAACCCTAAACCCTAAACCCTGAACCCTAAACCCTAAACCCTAAACTCCAAACCATTGTTGGCTAAGTCATGGGAGTACACGGACCCCATGGGTGGGCACCGTTGGGTTTGGGTACCCTCTAAGGGGATATAGGGGCCATAATCGCCATTAGAGGCCTGACCCTCCCCCTCCTCTCCCTGTGGGCTATAGGGTTTAGGGTTTAGGGTTTAGGGTTTAGGGTTTAGAGTTTAGGGTTTGAAGTTTAGAGATGCTAGTATTTGTCGAGCTTAGGGTTTCGGGCTCTAGAGTTTCCCAAACCCCCGACCCAGGCGAGCTTTTGCCAGTATAGCTGCAGCTTTGGCGGGGGGCCGTAAAATAACCATTTATGGCCCTACCATAAAGTCCTACACCCTAAACCCTAAACCCTAAACCCTGAACCCTGAACCCTAAACCCTGAGCCCCCCCCCTCCCCTCAAACTGTCGACGAGCCACAATCCTCGAAGAAGGAATCGCCACTCACTTGCCCCATCATGTGAAGATGGAAGGGGTACCTGTCCCAAGGTTCCATAATAACACCCGCTACCCCCACCCAAGGCTTCCGAAGCTTCCCTAAGGTTTCCTGGGTACCTATCCCTCATGAACTCCCTTCCCTTAAAACCCCGATAGATCAATGCATGCTTAGGCGGGTTAGGGTTGAAGGGTTTAAGGGTTTTATTGTTGTGGGTTCAGGGTCAAGGGTTAGGGTTTAGGGTTCAGGGTTCAGGGTTTAGGTCCTATATGCATAGACATGATATACACAACCCTGTGCTTGTGCTTGTTGGGGATAAGGCCGCCCTTCAGATGTTGGCTTTGGGTCTTGGGGTGGCTGGGGACCCTTAGTGTAGCTGAGTGAGCACCCCTTACACTTGTTGGGATGTAGGGTTTAGGGTTTAGGGTTTAGGGTTTAGGGTTTTACGATCATCCCCCTATAGAACTGAAAGTGTACACTTGTTTGGGGGCTTCTGAACTCAGCGACTAAGACTTGCAGGTCCATGGCACTTATTAACCAGCTATAAGTGCACTTACAGCCCACCGTTGTTCCCCTTAAGTGCCCCAAGATGGTTATAAGCACAGATTATAAGTACACTTGTCATTGGTGAATAGGTATCATGAATCTCCAAGTACTACTCTCTAGGTAGGGTTTAGGGTTTAGGGTTGAGCCAGGCCCCCGGGTTTCTCTTATGCCTCCCAGTATTGGGACCTTTTTGTGAGAGGGTTCCCAGAACCTAAACCCTAAACCTTATAATCAAATAATCCCTAAATCCTAAACCCTAAACCCTAAACCCTTTTGTCGATCTAAGGAAGGTGTCTTCAGTCTGCTAGAGACTCGTATGGTTACTTTTTGGACGTTCTGTGCTTAAGCCGGCCTCAGAGCTACTGGCTTAGGGGTTTGGGGGTTTAGGGTTTAGGGTTTAGGGTTATAAAATTTCGTACCCTTGACCTGACATACACTGGCGCCTAGACCCTAAACCCTGAATACTGAACCCTAAACCCTAAACCGTTTGGGGTTTCGGGATGTGGGCTCAGGGCTAGGACCCCTAAGCGCACGGAAGGGTTCGACACGGATTCTTGGTGAAGCTAAACCCTAAACCCTAAACCCTAAACCCTAAACCCTCAATCCTCTAATGGTTATGTGAAGGCGCTACTAAACTCTAAACCCCGCGCCACAGCTCATGGTTTAGGGCTAAAGGTTTAAGGTTTAGGGTTCGGGGATGCCGAAGAGTCCCAAAAACGAACTCACAGGGCGATTGCGGGTTTAGGGATAGGGTTTAGGGTTTAGGGTTTAGGGTTTAGGGTTTAGGGTTTAGGGTTTAGGGTTTAGGGTTTAGGGTTTAGGGTTTAGGGTTTAGGGTTTAGGGTTTAGGGTTTAGGGTTTAGGGTTTAGGGATAGGGTTTAGGGTTTAGGGTTTAGGGTTTAGGGTTTAGGGTTTAGGGTTTAGGGTTTAGGGTTTAGGGTTTAGGGTTTAGGGTTTAGGGTTTAGGGTTTAGGGTTTAGGGTTTAGGGTTTAGGGATAGGGTTTAGGGTTTAGGCTCCTGGGGTGTTCCATGGATCCTTGATTCTAGGACTGAGATCTCGAGTGAAACAACGACAAACAAGCTTCGGATTCTGGAAGACATTCTTTTTGGACTGGAGTGACTGAACCGAAGGAGCCCTTTTTGGGTTTAGGGTTTAGGGTTAAGGGCTTAGGGTTTAGGGGCCTTTTTGGGTTGAAGGGCTTCTACGGGAACCTAAACCCCTAAAGACATGGGAAGCAGGGCCTACTCTGTGTCCCAGAACCATAGAAGGTTTAGGGTTTAGGGTTTAGGTTTTGGGGTTTGGGGTTTGGGGTTTGGGGTTTGGGGTTTGGGTTTAGGGTTTAGGGTGAGTCCCCAGCTCGTAGTAAACAAGATCATTGCAAGCAACATTCCTCAATCAGGGGATTTTGGAAGTTCACCCCTGGACCTTAGACCCCTTTCGCGTTTTCTGGTAATTAAACCCTAAACCCTAAACCCTAAACCCTAAACCCTAAACCCTAAACCCTAAACCCTAAACCCTAAACCCTAAACCCTAAACCCTAAACCCTAAACCCTAAACCCTAAACCCCAATTCCTAAACCCTAAACCCTAAACCCCAATTCCAAAACCCTAAACCCTAAACCCTAAACCCTAAACCCTAAACCCTAAACCCTAAACCCTAAACCCTAAACCCTAAACCCTAAACCCTAAACCCTAACGCCGGCGCCTGCCCATGACATTCTCCTGGCCCATGCGGATGGCAGAGGCGCCCGCGATGCGGCAACGAGAGCCGGGCACACACATAACGTGGCCGCCATATCCTGGCGGGGGTTTAGGGTTTAGAGTTTAGGGTTTAGGGTTTAGGGTTTAGGGTGTAGGGTTTAGGGTTTAGGGGTAGCTTCTTCGGGTCCCTATTGTAGGGGAATCCTACTACTCGGGGATTTATCTTAGGGTCTCGATTTTTCGTGTCCAGTCAGCACCCCGTCCTGGATTCCTAAACCCCAAACCCTCAGCCGTAAACCCTACATCCTGAACTTGCCCTGAGCCCTAGACCCTAGACCCTAGACCCGAAACCCGAAACCCTACCTCCCCCCTCCCCCCCCCCCCACTGGTGTGCCTAGACCCTTCAACCTAAGGCAGCCAAGGGTCGTGTCGCCTCACTTCCTTCGTCGCCTGCCACCATTTTCGGGGTTTGGGTTTAGGGTTTATATAGGGGTTTAGGTTTAGGGTTTAGGGGTCAGGGGTTTAGGGGTTTGGGGTCTACGATTGTTTAGGTTTTAGGGTTTAGGGGTTTCGGGTTTAGGGGTTTAGGGTATAGTGTTTGGGGTTTAGGGACGGCCTCATTCGGGCTTCATGGCGTTGTTTTGGGCCTTTGAGGGCTTAGGGCGTTCTAGGGCGAGTCTTTGTTAGGGCCACAGCAGATGGAGTTTTCTCTAGGGATCTCGGCTGTTGGTGTTGAGGGATTAAAGACTTCATGGTTGTAGTGCTCCTTGAGTCCTAGACCCTCTCTATCGGGTATCCAGCATGTCCGTGCCAGCGACGCTTTGGAATTCATCTTGCATTGTAGCCCAGTATACTATCCGATACTCAGGAAACCCTAAACGCTTACATTCCTGAGCATTGATTCTTCAGAACCCCCCTGAATCCCAAAAAACCATTAACCCTAAAGACTATACAGCACCTGGAGGCCAAATGAGCGCCAAAATTGGGGCCATCTACCCTACTGGACCATGAACGCTTTTTGGGTTCATTTGGTCCCCCAGGCAAGGGACGATTCACTTTGGTTCAGGGTTTAGTGTTTAGGCCGTGGCTCCTTGAAAGGTGATGGTCCGGGAAAGCAGGGCCACCTCCGCCGAATACCTGAAACAAAAAGCAGATGAAGGAAGGTGTTCAGGGTTTAGGGTTTTAGGGTTTAGAAGCTTAAAGGTTTAAAGGGTTTAGAAGTTTAGGGGGTCCAGGGTCAGGGTTTAAGGTTTCGGATTTAGGGCTTATCTAGGCTGCCCAGTAACCTGGGCTTAAAAAGGGTGCCCTTTTTTGCTTAAAGGGGCTTATGAGGGAACCCAAACCCCCTAAAACCCTAAACCCTAAACCCTAAACCCTAAACCCTAAACCCTAAACCCTAAACCCTAAACCCGGGCAGCTGTGCACAGCAACCCCTGGAACCCTGAACCCTAAGCTCATGGGTTCCCCGTCTAACCCCCTCTTTACTAACCCCCTCTAAGGTTCCCGCCATGATTGGGTTTAGGGTTTAGGGTTTAGGGTTTAGGGTTTAGGGTTTAGGGTTTAGGGTTTAGGGTTTAGGGTTTAGGGTTCAGGGTTCAGGGTTCAGGGTTCAGGGTTCAGGGTTCAGGGTTTAGGGTTTAGGGTTTAGGGTTTAGGGTTTAGGGTTTAGGGCTACTACCCCCTAGGTTCCCCCCCCCAGAATTGTATGGCTATTTAGGGATAATGAAGCCGAATTAAGGTTAAGGGGGAGAACCTAGCGGGGGGTAGTCTAGAAGGGGGGCAGTAGGGAAACCCCTGATGAACCCCTAAACCCTAAACCCTAAACCCTAAACCCTAAACCCTGTAAGCAAATCCAGGTTGCTCCGGCCCGCCGTAGTGTCCGAACTGGAGGCCCTCCGTGAGCGCGATCTGCGCGCCGTTCACGCTGGCGAGGGTGCGCACTTCGTTCTGGTGGCTGTCCTCTTATATAGGGTTGTTAGGGGTGAGGGTTTAGGGTTTAGGGTTTAGGGTTTAGGGCTTAGGGCTTAGGGTTTAGGGTTTAGGGTTTAGGGTTTAGGGTTTAGGGTTAGGGTTTAGGGCTTCGGGTTTAGGGTCTAGGGTCTAGGGTTTAGGGTTTAGGGTTTAGGGTTTCGGGTTTCGGGTTTAGGGTTTTGGGGTTTAGGGTTTGGGGTTTAGGGTTCCCTTATACACCCTACAAAAGGCCCAAGGACTCGCCATTCAGAACCGGTCAGGGGACGGACCATAAGGGACCCTAAAACAAATCAGGTGGGGGATTTCTCAGCATGTGGGTTTGGTTTAGGGGAAAGGTATAGGGTTTAGGGTTTTAGGGTTTTTTTACGTCAGCCATGCGCCACCAACTGTACGTCTTAGAAATTTGAACTCTTTTGCGTCGCACGTCGGCGCAGTCTGCAGATGCCAGCGGAAGCGCGGGGCGGTGTGGGTTGGTTGTTTTACTCCCAGGAAATCCCTTCTCGGGATGGCGGAGTGGTCAGGGTAGGTTTGGAGGAGGTGTACCGCTTGGGTGGATACCAGGTTAAAGCAGTACGGTGCGGGGTGTCCTTTATGCCTGGATCTGGAAAATTTGATCCTATCTTTGTAGCCCGGGCTGAAAATTACATGGTGTAGAGGGTCGTCGTGGGGGCTTAATAATGCGGGTGTGAGTCTCTTCTGTTGGTAGGAGAGAAGGGTTTGTGAAGACAGTGTGGGGCGGTGTGCTTTACGCCAAACTGTCTGGTTGGTGACGTGAGAGTAGTAGGAGGCTTTGATACTCATTGCCCGTCTTAAGTATTGAAAATACCACCCATCTATGGAGCGTAGATGCTTGTCTTCCAGGGTGAGTGAGTCTAAGCCATAGATTAGTACTGATACTAGGTAGGAATGGAATGGGCGGGCTTTGGCTCTCCAACGAAGTCTGCTTCGCCACAAATTTTGGAGCTTCATGTGTGCTGCGTGTGCTTTTGTTTTGCGTGCCTCCATGGCGTACTTGGTGGTGTGTTCCCATGCTACCTGTGTGCCTAGATATTTGGCGCAGTAAACTGTGTTCACCTTTGTGCCATCTACGAATCTGACATCAGGGTCTGGCGCGTTGGGGTGTACCAGGATTTCTGTCGTTTCTGTGTAAAGGGTGGCCTCTACTTGTAAAGAGCAGAGTATCTCCTGTATTTGTGAAGTAGTCACACTCATAAGCATAGTATCATCGGCATATTCTAGGTCATACACTGGCTTACCTATAGACCATGTCTTGGTGGGTATCCCGTGCGTGCGTAGTCTGGCGTCCACATCATCAACCGCCTGATTTGCCTCAAAGACGAGTCGACTGTAGTGCGGAAATGCTTCCGCCACCACCAGCCACGCCAAGCAGAATGCCATCCCCCGGAGGGTCATACAGCATCCATCCTTCTTGTACCCGACTCATTCGGTAACCCAGGTACCCTTTGATCTGTCCCAAGAGAAATCTGTGGTCCCGCCTCAGCGAAGGGTCCTGCCACAAGTTCTCCTCAGCACTTCATCTGGATCAGGGACGAGGTCGGTCTCTTCTCCCCAGTAGGCTTCAGCTTGCAGGTCGATCCTCGTTCGGTTGAACACGTAAATGAACAGCCATTCGGGAACCCCAACGTACTTCGCCATTTCGTCAACAGTTAGGATTTAGGGTTTAGGGTTTAGGGTTTCAGGGCTCTGCATCTGAAGCAACGATAGGTCTATCGCAGACGATGCATTCTTTCGAACCCTGTGCCCAAAGCCAAATAAAACCCTAACCCCCCAACTGCTGAACACCTTAGACCCCAGACCTTAACACCTAAACCCCAAACCCCTAACAACCGTAAACACCCCTAAACCCCAACCCCCCCAAACCCCTCTGCCCATAACAAGACCTTAAACCTTCAACCCTGAACCCTTAAATAAACAAAAGCAAAAAAACCTACAAACGCCTAAGTCCTGAGACCCAGCAGCGTTTCCGAAATTAGGGGTACCTTATCGGGGTCACTCTTGTAAGGGAATCCGACTATTTGGCGGTCTATTCTAGGGGTCCCTTAAAAACTAAACCTTAATGGCCCCCGTGGGCGGCAAATTTGGGGCAAATTTGCCTGCTTGTGGGCATTTTTGCCTCCTTGTGGGCATGTGTTGCCTGCTTGTGGGCATGCATGTTTGCCTCCTTGTGGGCATTTGTTGCCTGCTTGCGGGCATTTTGGCCTGCCTGCTTGTGTTTTTGCCTGGTTCGTGGGTTTAGGGTTTCAGGGCCTCAAGGCCTGGGGTGTAGGGTTTCAGGGCCTTAAGGCTTGGGTTTAGGGTTTCAGGGCCTCAAGGCCTGGGGTTTAGGGCCTCAAGCATAGGGTGAGGATCTGTTGTGGGTCTTAGGTTTCGGGTTTTGGGTCCGCTGGACTTTGAGCTTTAAGCCTACTGGGAAGGTATTGAGTGAACTGTATATTTTCTCAATGATATGGGTTTCTTGGGTGAGTGGTTTTTTTTCCTACGCTTGACAAGCTGCTTGACTAGTGAATGCTTGGACTTGAGATGCTGATACCCAACCCCTAAACCCTAAAAACCCCAAACCCCAAACCCTAAACCCCAAACCCTAAACCCTAAACCCCCACATCTTAAAACCCTAGAGGGTCCCTTATGTTCGTAAACTCCCAGCAGGGTCCGGCTCATCTGTCCATGCGGTGGTGACGACGACCACCTCTTGATCGGCCTTCCAGTCCACCTGCGGTAGCTTGGGGTTAGGGTTTGGGGTTTAGGGTTTAGGGTTTGGGGTTTAGGCTTTAGGGTTTAGGCTTTCGGGTTTACTTGGAGGTTCAGGGTACTTACTGACCCAATTCTGACTGTACTTATAACCCAATTATGACCCGACTAGGGTACTTCAGGGGCTTATATGTGGCACCCTGAACCTCCAATTAGGGTTTGGGGTCTAGGGTTTAGGGTTTAGGGCTACGGGGGTCCGGGAGGGATTAGGGTTTCAAAGGTTTCAGGGCTTTGGGTTTAGGGGGAGCAGGTTTCAGGGCTTTAGGGTTTAGGGCTTTCAAAGGTATAGAGGTTACAGTAGGTCTTAGGGTTTGGTGCCTAAACTACCCTAAACCCTTAACCCTAAACCCTAAACCATAAAAACTAAACCCTAAACACCCCCAGCCAGCTAGGCTTTACTGTTGGTTAGTAGGGAATGGGGGAATGAGGTACCCTATATAATCCCTTGAAGGGTATATATAGGCCTCTACTTCCCTCATTCCCTGCTAACCGACAGTAAGACAAAGGCCAAACCCTAAACCCCAAACCCCAAACCCTAAACCCTAAACCCTAAACCCTAAACCCTAAACCCTAAACCCTAAACCAGACAAAGGAAATAAGGGTACTACTGGGCATCCTGGGGTCAGGGGGGGGGGGGGGTTTGAGGGAGGCCTTGGCTCGAGGGTCGGCGAAGAGTCTACGTTTCATTGCAGTGGGTTTACCCTAAACCCTAAACCCTAAACCCGAAAACCTAAACCCTAAACCCTAAACCCTAAACCCTAAACCCTAAACCCTAAAACCTCACCCGACACTCGGTTTGTAAGACTCGGGGATGAATCGAAGACAAAACGATAAGTTTGCCAAGAGCGAATATAAGGGGGCCTTCATAATGAGAGTAGATTTGTTGTTTTCTTGTTGGGGGGCCATAGGGACTACTATGCGTAACTATTCCCACCCCTAAATTAGATGAAAGACCCCTAAACCCTAAACCCTAAACCCCAAACCCCAATCCCCAAACCCCAAACCCTAAACCCTAAACCCCAAACCCTAAACCCTAAACCCCAAACCCTAAACCCTAAACCCAGCCTCGTCTTCCAACAGCAACTCCGTGGCTCCTGGCAAGGCCGTAGCTGCCAGCCGCGTCCTGAGCTTCCCAGTTGCGGGTTTAGGGTTTAGGGTTACATAGGGTTTAGGGCTTATGGTTACATAGGGTTTAGGGTTTAGGGTTTAGGGTTACATAGGGTTTAGGGTTTAGGGTTTAGGCGCGCAGCTACCACAAGAACCCTAGGGCCGAGGGTTGAGGCATCTTTTCGTCTTCAGGGCTTGCGGTTTAGGGTTTAGGGTTTAGGGTTTAGGGTTTAGGGTTTAGGGCTTAGGGTTTAGGGTTTAGGGTTTGGAGCTTAGGGTTTGCGCCTTAGGGCTTAGGGGCAGGCTTGAAGCTCAGAGACCTGCCAAAAGGCTCAGGCTCCAAGAACTCGTATTTAAGGCGTTAAAGGCCTTATTGATAATAAGCTTTTTTGGTGTTTTTTGAGCCCAAGGGTTAGCATTCGCGACCTGAGAGATCAACAGGTCTCTACCTCAAACGCGTGCGAGGAGAAACGCACCAAGGAGCTTGGAAGCTGCACCCCTTCCAAGCTCTGGTCGAAGCACTCGCCGAAGGTCAAGGTCTGTAGGCGGCTGGGAAGCTGCACTCGTGCCAAGCTCTGGTTGAAACACCAGCCGAAGGTCAAGGTCTGTAGGCCGCTGGGAAGCTGCACCCCTTCCAAGCTCTGGTCGAAAGCACCACCGAAGGTCAAGGTCTGCAAGCTGATGGGAAGCTGCACCCCTTCCAAGCTCTGGTTGAAATGATAGCCGAAGGTCAAGGTCTGTAGGCCGCTGGGAAGCTGCACCCCTTCCAAGCTCTGGTTGAAACAATCGCCGAGGGTCAAGCTTTGCATGCCGCTGGAAAGCTCCACCCCTTCCAGGCTCTGGTTGAAATGGGAGCCGAAAGTCAAGGTCTGCAGGCCGCTGGGAAGCTGCACCTCTTTCAAGCTTTGGTTGAAACACCAGCCGAAGGTCAACCTCTGTAGCCCGCTGGGAAGCTGCACCCGTTCCAAGCTCTGGTTGAAATCATAGCCCAACGTCAAGGTCTGTAGGCCGCTGGGAAGCTGCACCCCTTCCAAGCTCTGGTTGAAATGGTAGCCCAACGTCAAGGTCTGTAGGCCGCTGGGAAGCTGCACCCCTGCCAAGCTCTGGTTGAAGCGCTCGCCGAAGGTCAAGGTCTGTAGGCCGCTGGGAAGCTGCACCCCTTCGAAGCAACCGCTTAAGGTCAACGTCTGTAGGCCGCTGGGAAGCTGCACCCCGTCCAAGCTCTGGTTGAAATCATAGCCCAACGTCAAGGTCTGTAGGCCGCTGGGAAGCTGCACCCCTGCCAAGCTCTGGTTGAAATGGTAGCCCAACGTCAAGGTCTGTAGGCCGCTGGGAAGCTGCACCCCTGCCAAGCTCTGGTTGAAGCGCTCGCCGAAGGTCAAGGTCTGTAGGCCGCTGGGAAGCTGCACCCCTTCGAAGCAACCGCTTAAGGTCAACGTCTGTAGGCCGCTGGGAAGCTGCACCCCGTCCAAGCTCTGGTTGAAATCATAGCCCAACGTCAAGGTCTGTAGGCCGCTGGGAAGCTGCACCCCTGCCAAGCTCTGGTTGAAGCACCTGCCGAAGGCCAAGGTCTTTAGGCAGCTGGGAAGCTGCACTCCTTCCAAGCTCCGGTTGAAGTAGTCGCCGAAAATTAAGGTGTGTAGGCTGCTGGGAAGCTGCACCCCTGCCAAGCTCTGATTGAACCTACTGCCATTGAACCAACTGCCGAAGGTCAAGGTCTGTAGCCCGCTGGGAAGCTGCACACCTTCCAAGCTCTGGTTGAAATGATAGCCGAAGGTCAACGTCTGTAGGCCGCTGGGAAGCTGCACCCCTGCCAAGCTCTGGTTGAAACTGCGGCCGAAGGTCAAGGTTTGCAAACCGCTGGGAAGCTGCACCCCTTCCAAGCTCTGGTCGAAATCGGAGCCGAAAGTCAAGTTCTGTAGGCTAGCAAGCTGCACCCCTTCCAAGCTTCGGTTAAAGTTCCCCCCGAAGGTCAAGGTCTGTAGGCCGCCGGGAAGCTGCACCCCAACCAAGCTCTGGTTGAAGCTAATGCCGAAGATCAAGCTCTGCAACCCGCTGGGAAGCTGCACTCCATCCAAGATCTGGTTGAAATCGTGGCCGAAGGTCAAGGCAATAACCTCATCCATGGCATCCGTGTCTTGATTCAACCCAGTCTTTGCTAAGGCTTGTTTTATGCTGCGTGCCGCGCAGCCTGCGCCACTTTTTCGCACCATATATGTGAGCTCTTGGTTCTGAGTTTGTTGCAGCAGCGGCTGGTGCAGTTCAAGAAGATGCGCACCGGAAGTCAGCACGATTGACGCTGCGGAAAGGCCAACACTTTGCGCGACGCGTCTTCGTACATTCCGACCCGTTTCCGCATCGTCCACATGGAGCTCAAACGTGGAGCCGGCAAGACAGTGGATGGTCAACGGCCGCCGCATGCTGGCGCTTCTGCAGCGACCAGACTCGACGAAGAATGGCGTGAAAGCGAGTGGATATTTCGGCTCACTTACAAGCTCTAACATGGGAATAGAGAATTTGGTAACTAGGTACCTTGCATCCCCAGAATGTATGCCTCCTCAGGGGATCAGAAAAACCACCTAACTCCCGAATGTCTGCGCGCAGCCTGACTTGAGAAAAAGCAACCTCTCAACCTGAAAGGATCATTGGAGGGTTTGGGGCTTAGGGTTTAGGGCACGACCTCATGCACTAACAGGGCTTTATATTCTAAATTGGAATCCGATTTAGGTCCGATGTTGTCGGCTTCGTCACACCTACCACACCTACTTCTGAAGAGTTGCCCAAAATCCCGAACGCGAAGCCCTAAACCCTAAACCTTCACTCCCTAAACCCTAAACCCCAAACCCTGAACCCTAAACCCTAAGCCTATATGCCAAACCCTCACCCCACCTGACTTGCTGAGGGACTCTACGGGACTCTGTATCCTGCTACTTGGGTGAAGAGTTCCAGTGCAAGGTTTGGGGTTTCAGGTTCACGGTTCACGGTTCACGGTTCACGGTTCACGGTTCAGGGTTTAGGTTTAGGGTTTAGGGTTTAGGGTTCAGGGTTCAGGGTTTAGGGTTGAAGGAGTTCAGAGTTTAGGATTTGAGGAGTTTAGGGTTCGGGCTTATGGTTTAGGATCCCGATACCCCACTACAACATGTACCATGTGTAGGGTGTAGCGCACTGTAGGGTTTAAGGTTAGGGATTGAGGTTTTGGGGTTTAGGGCTTAGGCTCTAGGGTTCAGGCGCGGATATCGAGACTTTGCCGAGCAAATAACTACAATGCGAACGCTATGGCTACAGTCGTAGGCAACTAGTACTAGACCCAGGGGCAACCCAGGAATAAGGAGGGTACCCTTGCCACCAACTGCCTCCAGGAACCCTCGAAAATCCTCCCCTAATCTCTAAACCGTAAACCTAAACCCTAAACCCTAAACCCTGAGCATTTACTCTCTGATCCCCGGGTATCCAGTATACGTACATAGCTCCTTGAAAAGACTGGTTGCCACCCAATGATACCAAAAGCACTTCAACCGCAGACCTTCCCAGACTGACCCGAGCTTCCCCCCTTAGCCCCCCTCATGCCCCCCTCCTCACCCCACCGGGTTTAGGGTTTAGGGTTTAGGGGTTTAGGGTTTAGGGTTTAGGGGTTTAGGGGTTTAGGGTTTAGGGTTTAGGGTTTAGGGTTTAGGGTTTAGGGTTTAGGGTTTAGGGTTTAGGGTTTAGGGTTTAGGGTGCGCCCCCCACCCCCACCGCCCTAAACAAGAAGAGGGGCCAGGTGGGCCAGTAGCGCCAGCCGTAAACCTCGCAAGAGGCTCCAAAGTGCAAGGGCTGACATGCTGGCCCTAAAAAAGGGTTTAGGGTTTAGGGTTTAGGGTTTAGGGTTTAGGTTTAGGGAGCACTCTCGACCTCTGATTCTACCCACGTGAACCCGGGCTAGGGTTTTGGGCTTTGGGTTTTGGGTTTAGGGTTTAGGGTTGGTTCGTATACTGTACCTTAGGCAGAGTTATATTCGTATCACCCAATGTTCGGGTTCATTTGGCCCCCCAGGGTATTCAGCCTCCCGTTCCGCAACAAATTTCCTGATACCCGGTAAGTCTAGCCCGTAGAACTCACTGGTAACTTTGCATCCCAGAATGACGCCCTTCATCTTAGGGTAGTTGCAGTCCCTTAACATGGGCCCTTGCAGGGGACCCTGTACAAACCTCTTGCAAAACCCATGGGCCCCATACTTCAGCACCCTTTAAATGAGGCAAGGGGCCATATTCAGGGACCATGTAACTACCCTTGAACCCTAACCCTAAACCCTAAGGGACCACATACCCACTTCAGAACCTTCAAAGAAGGTAAGGGACCATGCAACCACCCTTAGACTTTAGCCGCAGGGTCTCCTAGCTAGTGTATGAGCGCTCTGTCTCCTTGAACATGAAACGTTAACTTCTAGACGCTAAACCCCAAACCCCAAACCCCAAACCCCAAACCCCAAACCCCAAACCCCAAACCCTAAACCCCAAACCCTAAACCCTAAACCCTAAACCCTAAACCCTAAACCCCAAACCCTAAACCCCAAACCCTAAACCCTAAACCCTAAACCCTAAACCCATTCTGGGCAGTGCGGGCTTTGGAGCTCTTCAATTGGTGGAGTTTGTGCCGAGGCGGGGGTTAGGGCCTTGAGGTTCCCTACGTGGAGGTTCAGGGAACTTAGGGTTTAGGGTTTAGGGTTTAGGGTTTAGGGTTTAGGGTTTAGGGTTTAGGGTGTCGGGTTTAGGGTTTAGGGTTTAGGGTTTAGGGTAAAAGGTTTAGGGCATTATCAGCGTAGTTAAAACCCACCTAGAAGCCCCTTAAGTACCCTAAGACGGTTACAATTGGGTTGTAAGTACAGTTATAAAGGGAGGTTCCTGAGAACTAGAGTTGGGTATCGAGAAGTAGAGCTAGGGTATGTTTGGGTTAAACAGCTTAGTTCCAGGAAACGTGCACGCTTTGCAGGTGCTGGTCTGAGGCGCAGGACCCCCGTTAGTGGATGCAGGTACTTTAAGACCCTACCCGAAACCCTAAACCCTAAACCCTAAACACTACTATATATATTCTAGATGCTCTGAAACTCGCGCAGATGCATGGATCCGGAGCTGCTTGGGAAAAGGAAACGGCCCTCTTTCTGACATTCTTTCCTTCCTTCATTCGAGTACAGTGTGGGGTTTAGGGTTTAGGGTTTAGGGTTTAGGGTTATAAAAACATTATATATATATATATATGTACACAGACATACATATTTTCCCCGGAGCTCTGAACCAAGAACTTGCAGGAGTGTTCTGGCCTGTTGGCCGGCTGCGAGATTTTGGTAGGGGCACCCGCACCCCAAAAGCCCAAAAAGCCCTCATCTCCAGAAAATTACAGGGTGGGGCCCCCTAGTTATAAGTAGAGTAATAACGGCCCTAAATTGGGTTATAAGGACCCTAAGTTAGGTTATAAGTCCCTGAACTACAGTTAGTATAGTAAGGGGGCCCCACCCTGTAGAGCTCTAGGGGTCTATAGTCTATATTGACGCCGTGGAACATATGAACTTGTTCGAAACTTATGTTGGACTTATTTTACGTCCGGATTAAGTAGGAGATAAGTTGTGTATAAGTTCGAAGGCTTGCTTTTTATCGTTTTCATGAACAGCACCTTTTTTTTCGACAACGCGGGCACACAGCTTAAGGCATGGCAGAAAACTATGCCCAGAATTGCAGAGAGACCTTTTGCTTCTTGCAAGCATGGCAAGACGAAACGTGCGAAAACAAGGAAGAAGCAGGCCAACTCCGCGGACATTGGCATTTTGTTTGCGGACCGGCTCGCGGACACCCGCGGACAGCAGACGACGCCAGATGGTAGCGGCGCAGGGTCCGGGTTTATATGAGCCCATGCAGGCGGACATCCCCCGCGCGGACGTGGACGTCCGCGAGCCAGGGCTTGACCTATATTGTCGCGGACATTGGCGGACACCTGGCGGACACCTGGCGGACAAGGCACGCAAGCGTCCCGAGGTGGCCGGGGAGGCTTTAACGCTGCCAGGCAACTATAGGATATCTGTTGCAGGGGCTGCAAGACCGATTTCTTCAATTTTAGCTGAGATGCACGCGCGAACCCGGGAACAACATCCCAAAATGTAAAACAGATAAATAGAGATAAGTTCCATATAAGTTTGTTTGACATAACACGCATAAGTTCCTAAGTCCGAGATATGTCAAGCAAAAAAATGTCGAACTTATCTGGAACTTAATTATATAAAACAAACTTAACTCCAAGATAAACAACTTAATCGATACATATCACATACATATCACGTACTTATAAGTCGATAAGTCGGCGGGGTCAATTAAGTAGGGCTTTAAGGGTTAAAGTTTTCGGGATTTAGGGTTTAGGGCTTTAAGGTTGAAGGGATGCTTGAGGGTTCAGGCTGTAAGGGTTTAGGGTTTAGGGTTTAGGGTTTAGGGTTTAGGGTTTAGGGTTTAGGGTTTAGGAATTCAGAGTTGAGCCCTACCCCCGAAAGCCTAAAGCCCGTGGAAGCCCAACTAGAAGTTGCGCAAGCACTCACAGGCCACATTTCCCTAAACCCTAAACCCTAAACCCTAAACCCTAAACCCTGAACCTCAGAAGTCAAACGGCGCGGACCTCCAACAGGCCGCCGTTGCCGACCACGAGGCCCTTGGTGTTCAGCGGGTTCGTCGACCTCTCCACGAGCTCGGTTTGGGGTTTAGGGTTTAGGGTTTAGGGCTTAGGGCTTAGGCCTTAGGGCTTAGGCCTTGGGGTTTAGCTTGGGATTTGGTGTTTGGGGTTTATGGTGTATATAAGGTTTAAGGCATAGGCTTGGGATTCCGCGCTTAGGCAGTAGGTTTTAGGGTCACCCTAAACACCAGAATGCTCAGCCCTGAAGGCGAAACCGCTGATTTGGTCATCAATATCGGGATAGTAGGTCCCCGCTCTTCCTGTTAACGAACTTGAACTAGACTAAGTATGACTGTAACTTAATTCATACTCTTCATGGCATACATAATGTAATTTACACTCCTTTCCAAGAAGCAAGTTACACTGGGACGGGCATGGGAATCCCCTGGTAGCTGTTCAATGTTTGGGGTTGGGGCATCCAGAACGCTGGTCATATGCCCCCTGAGGCTGCGGAGGGTCATGCGAGGTCTGTGTCTTGGTAGCCCAATAACCACGTTCTGATAAGGGCACCCTGTTTTGGGTCGGATACTTTATCAGGGAACATTGAACCCTAAACCCTAAAAACCCTAACCCCTAACCCCTAAGCCCTAAGCCCTAAGCCCTAAGCCCTAAGCTTTAAGCCCGAAGCCCTAAGCCCTAAGCCCTAAGCCCTAAGCCCTAAACCCTAAACCCTAAGCCGCGAATCAAAAAAGGTGAACGGGGCACCACTGGGCTGCGAGGTGTGAGGGGCCCACAAACCAAAAAATCCTACCCCAAACCATGGCCCGAACACTCAACCGCGATCTGAATCTGCGGGGGAGCTTATGTTTTTCCACATCTCCAAATCTTCACCTCTTCCCCCCCACAAGACTCAAAAACAAAACGCCCCACTTTTGGGACAACCCCATCGGGGGCTTCCGATAACAGGGGTACCTTATTGGGGTCCGCATTCCCAGGTACTCCTACTAGTTGGGGGCATCCCATATTGCGGGAAACTCCTTGCTTTATACTAGCAGTCGTGAACAGAAATTCTAGTAACCCTATTATACTCGCTACTAAGCACTGTTAGTATAAGGGGGGGAGCATCCCGAGAAGCCCCCATTTCAGTTCCCTAACCGAGGGTTCCGTGGGTTTAGGGTATAGGGTTTAGGGTTTATAAAACTTGGCCACGTCCCTGGCCCTGCACAACAGGTGCTTCACAACTTGTGCATCTGAAGCCCTTTATTACCCTAAACCCTAAACCCGAACACCAAAATCCTTGCGTGGAGCGGCTTGACTCCACAAAATGCCCTAAACCCCAAACCCTAAACCCTAAACCCTATAAACCCACAACCGCAAAACCTCAAGAACCCAGAACCTGATTTGTAGTTTATTACTACAGAACCCCTTATAGGATTCTTCGGCAACCCGCAAAAAGTTATGTTTTGGGTTAAGGTATAATATTATACAAACCCAAACCCTAAACCCTTCGTCCTCCGGTAAGGCTTTAAGGCTTTAGGTTTTAGAGTTTAGGGCCTTGTAGAAGGTGATGCGCAGGTACAGTACATAAGAGTACGAGGGATGGAGTATGTGACGGGGGAGAGAACCAACCTGCAACGCACCACAAGCACCCCTCAACCCTTACGCCTACAACGCTGACAAGCCCGAACACTGATGTTCTAAGGGTAGTTTCATGGGCCTTCTTTATGGTCACTTACCTCCCTTAATTTTTAATTATCGGGCCCTTGGGTTATATAGGGTACATACGGGATATATAAGGGGGTCCCCTTTTAAGGGGGACCACGTAACTACCCGAAGAA